GGGGGGGAGAATCACACCAATGCGCGCATGTTCATTAAAATTTAGCGCGTTGCACCGCGGATGCGTGCGCTTTTGCATGCAACTGTTTTGCGTGCTTAAATGAACACAACGAAGTTTCAACGAAGCGTACAACACCTTTATCTAATCTTTCTTTCTTTTTTCCCCTTGTAGATAGGATGGTATTAAAGATTCGATTGAGTGTACGAAAAAAAAAAAAAAGAAAATAACCCTATTCGTAGAAAACACATAAAAAGACTAGTATAAAGTTAACGGATTTAAACAGGTGACTAATAGTAAGTATTTATACATATATATATTTAGAAATAGAAAAAAAATATAAATGATAGTCCGTTCTGGCAAGGATGCTCATAAAGAATTGATTGAAAGTACGCAAAAAAAAATAACCCTATTCGTAAAAAACACATAAAAAGACTAGTATAAATTAACGGATTTAAACAGGTGACTAATTGTAAGTATTTATACATATATATTTAGAAATAGAAAACAATTAAAATGATAGTCCGTTCTGGCAAGGATGCTCATAAAGAATTGATTGAATGTACGCAAAAAAAATAACCCTATTCGTAAAAAACACATAAAAAGACTAGTATAAATTAACGGATTAAAACAGGTGACTAATTGTAAGCATTTATATACATATATATATATTAGTATATTGATTCTCAGGAATATAATTATATAATATATATGCATATAGCATACGTGATAGGTGGTAAACGAATAGAGGATTCAGTATCCGGATTAAATTGCGGTATTTATTACGCAAGTAAAACGATTTCGAACTGGTATAGTGAGATTCGACCTGCGCAAGAATTCTTCCATTATCGTTTTAGCCGTGACGCGGACACCCAATGCACGTGTGCAACATCGACTAGATCGAAAGAGGGCAAAACAGGGGTGGTTGAGGGGGGGGAGTGAGTGAGGCGGAGGGGGAGGGGGAAAGGATCGTGAAATCGTTTCGTAACGTGATACGGAACCTTACCGATACTCCTGTTAAACGTCGCATCGTACGATATTGAGAGAGAATAAAATGACGCTTACTATGTTAGAAAAAGAATACGGGTTTTTATATGTGTGTGTGTGTGTATGTGTGTGTGCATGTTTGAATGGATGCGTAGGGTGTTGTATATAGGGTGTGTGTAGGTGTATAGAAGATTATATATAGGGTTATTTGAGTATTGTGTAAGATATTTATGATATGGGTGTGTAGGTGTAGGGTTATTTGACTATATAGGGGTGTATATAAGGTGTATTGGTATATATATATAGGGTTATTTGAGTATTGTGTAAGATATTTTTATATATATATATATATATATATATGTGTATATAAGAGTAAGGTGTTGTATATAGGGTGTGTGTAGGTGTATAGACGATTATATATAAAGTATCTAGGGATATATAGGGTTATTTAAGTATTGTGTAAGATATTTTGATATATATATATAGGTGATACACACCTTGATATTTGAGAATCTTTTTCCTTCCTTCCTTTCTTCCTTTCTTTTTGATGTTTTTTTCTCATTGATCCTTAATCAAACACACGAATCCCCACTCGTCGCACAACAAACTATTAAACTCATCGACAGGGAGGAGTGCACGGAAACGATACTGCACCATCTTTTTCTTCTCTTTCAAATCCTTTTTCTTTTTATGGTACTTGAAAACTTTCACTCGATTAATCGTGCGAAAATAATACGACTATGAGAGGAGACTATTTCTATGGTAACAGGGAAAACGGGGAATGTTACAGTCCATTCGATTTTGCGATAAGTGAAAAATAGATAGAGAGAGAATATTTGAATGAAAAAAAAAATAAAAAATAATAAAATAAATTGTATAAACAATATGAGTGATAATGATAAGAATGTAAATAACATTGAATTTGTATTTGAAATAATTTGTGGATTTTTTCTTTAATCAATCGAACATTCATACATAGGTATGAAAAATAATTGGATAAATAAAATAATTTTAGTTTGTTTTAATTTGCGAATACATCAATCAAACTTCACAAAAACCTATGAATGTTTAATAATAATAATAATAATAATAATAATAATAATAAAATAAATAATAAAAATAATTCTTTTGGTTGGTTTTAATGAAGTATATATATAGAAATTAAATATAATAAAAAAAATAAAAATAAATAATAGAAATAATTGTTTATATTAGAATTGTAAACGAGCATAAATCGAATGAAGGAAAGGAAAAATATCGAATCGTATCAACCAATCGATCGTTCGATTGATCTATCGATCCTAAATCGAAAGAAATGAAGCTGAAGATAATAAATAAGAAAGAAAACACTTCGTGTGTATATATATATATATGTATATATATATATACGGTTTAAACAGCGACGAGATCGAACGGGATCGCACGACTGGAAACTTGTCGAGGAGACGAGGTTGTACGTTCCTCCAAGCTAGGAATCCCCACTTCTCTTGGCGTTTCAAATAAACTGTATCGCGCAGGCTCAAGTTCTCTCTCTCTCTTTTTCTCTTTGGTCTTTCGTCTTTCGTCTTTCGTTTCTTTCGTTCCCTTTTGCTGACTATGTGTCTTTACTTATCCCTACCTTTACCTAACATTGTGCTGCTCCTGCTGCTTCTCTTACCTTCTCTTCTTACCTTTTTTCTCGAATTCAACTTATCCAACTTTTTGTTTCTATTTACCTTTCCCTGTTCTTTTTCTTTTTGTTTTTTTTTTGTTTTTTTCAAGTGAAAATTTCTTTAAAATCTGACTGATTTGAAACGATGAAACGAAAAAAAACTGACGAAATGCTACGTCACTAAAAAGAGATAACATATATGCAACTATAAGTGTTTAGCATAATTGCAATTTTATATTAGGTCGTTCTAAAAATTTTTAATAATTCAAATGAGCACAATATTTTTTAGGTTGATTAATTGAAAGTATAGAAAAAAGGTAAAATAAAGTAGAATTGATATTATTTAGTAAAATATTGTATTTTTTATATTTTTAATAATAATATGCTATTTAATTATGTATATTTTTAATAATAATATATATATATATATATTAGGGGTGCCCCGCCACGCGTTGCTGTGGCTCACAATCAGTCCGATACACACATCTTTAATTCGAAAATTTCAAACTTTTTGAAATAAGCTGTAACAATCTAAACCGTTTTGATGAAAATTTGTATTAAAAAAATATTATAATATCTAACGTCATTTTGAATATCGACTAACTTCAACCTATACACTTTTCGCATAACAATTTATAAATAAAAAATTAATTAAATAAACAACATAAATTGGACCGAATTGTAACGCTAAACCATTATCGAATCCACCTGAAGACACACACAAAATTTCATTAAAATCGGTCCAGCCGTTTAGGAGGAGTTCAATTACAAAAACGTGCACAGAAGAAATATATATATGGTACCTAACCTATTAAGATATAGGTTAGGTTTTATCGCGTTTATTTTGTATTTTTTATCGCTAATTTAAAGATTTAACATTCACAGATTATCTTAGTCTTTTGGTACTGTAAATTTTCGATAGATGGTGCTATATTACAATTTAATTATTTCACATTTTTTTTCAGGTTTTTGTATGACATAACTAACCTTGTTTTTTTATATATATTTTTTTTTTTTGAATAATATTATTTTGTGGGTGTTGTTATAATTTCCTAAATAGTTTATAATTATATTAATTCAACATATTATAACAAAACCATAATAATAATTAAAATATATTTCATTATGTTTTCTTTCATATTTTAACAGATTAGTATTCTTTCATAGTATTATAATACATTAGCACGAATTAATTATAACGTTAACGAAATATTTTTTTCTATTAAACAAATTAAATTAATCAATTAACAAACACCTGTGATCGTTTCATGAGTTCACATGAAAATATTTGATATGATATTTCACGAATAATAATGATCACGAATTAACATTAATTACTCGAAATGTCATAGGAATTCAAAAGACACGAGTTTCCGCGTGTATTCGCAAGGCCACGACACACGTTTTTTTTTTTAATTAAAAAAAAAACACACACACACACATAAGTAGCATGATCTTCCATGAAGTAGGAGAATCTTAAAAATAGTAAAAGGCGCGTGCCCCCTAACCGTGTAAGTAAGAGTACATATGTACAGTTAGAAAAAGGAACATGGAAGTTAAACGAACTGTGTGAGTATTACAAACGTATGAGAAAAAAAAAAAAAAAAAAAAAAAAAATTGTTCAACAACATTCGAGAACGGGCGGTAGAAATTCTTTTGATAGTGTGCGAAATAATATATTTTATTGTTATATGTGTAGATTGTGTATTGCATATGTATATGTATATAGAAAATCATTACATAGCGGTCTTTATCGAAAAGATTCATACAAAAGTAGCACACCATATGTGCGAATGCAGCATATGGAAAATTAGCTAGGAATAAACCCCCATAAATTATCGTTTGTCATCACTGATACATTGATTTAACATAGTCATCAATATTTTTTAATTTTTTTTCAATGTGTCTACGAAGTTTTATATCATAAGTATTTTTTTTTATGGTATTTATTATTTGTGTGTGTGTGTGTGTATTTATTTTTGTATTTTTTTCGTTTTATTTAAATTCAATCATTTTTGTTTTTTTTTTTTTAAATTTTATTCTACAATAATATATTATTTAATTGTTTAGTAATATTTTAAAATACGTTTCTGTTTCGTTTTTAAGGTAATATAATACTTTGTTAAATTTGTAAATAATTTTTGTTTGAAATTTTTACAATTATTTTTCAAAGGTAGACAGATATTTATTTTTATTGATGAATATTTAATGGTAATCAATATTATTATATTTATTTCGTAAATTCAAATAAAATATTTTTTACTTTTTTTTAGGATGACGTTTTATTTTAATCACTTGACGAATTGATAGATTGATCGTCGTTGTCAATTCACAATCAATAATTCACAAAAAAAAAAAACAAGAATTTAAAATACATTTTTCAATAAATAAAATCATAATTATCTCATTCATCTTATTTGATTGTGCAGAATAGATTTCTTTTATATTATTATAATTTTACTTTACAAACAATATTCTTAATTAACATTTTTATTCATTATATTTTACATATAAATCTATTTAACAATAGAAATAATAGTTGTCAGAGACTGTTGTCATAGTTGAAATCAAAATGGATGAAAAAAAAAAAAAATGCAATAACTTGTTGATGGTTAATCATCAAAGACGCACTTTCACATTTTTAACGTTCCCAACAAATAACATACACATATATATATATATATATACATCCTGAGATAATTACCTATCCCGGAACGTAAGAATATTAATGTCAGTGTTTAGTGTTGAGACGTCTCTTGGCATAGTGTCATTGTCTTCGTCATAATTGCTAACTCGAAGAAGGATCATTGACTCGTAGAAAACGTTGATTGTACCGAGAAAGAAACATCGTAATCATCGTACTTTCCTTTCTTTCCAAACGTTCATCTTTATCGTTAACCCCCTACCCCCCCCCCTATTCCCTCTCACTTCAGTTAATCATCTTCATTGAATCTTTTTGTTTTTCACTCACATCAAAAACCCCACCCAATCCTCATGTCGTTGTTCTTTAAGGATTTTGTATTTGGAGGTTATCTTAGTTTCAAGATTCCGTAAGAATTCAATAGATGGTGCTGTAGGACAATTCAATTTTTTTCAGGTTTTTTTTTTCCAGGTTTTTTTTCAGGTTTTTTTTCAGGTTTTTTTCTTCAGATTTGCGTTGATAGAACTAAGCTTGGTTTTTTTTTTTTTTTGATATTTTTTTCATGTATTATTATTTTGTGGATGTTGTTATAATGTACTAAATAGTTTAATATTAGTAAATTATAAATTATTATTATTTAAAATAAATAATAACAATTTATAATTTACCATAATTATATTAAGTCAACATTTTATAACAAGGCCATAGCAATGCTATTTTTTTTATTAGTAATTTAAGGATTTATTATTTGGAGGTTAGCCAGGTCTTTAGATACTGTAAGCATTCAATAGATGGCACTGTAATACAATTCAATTATTTCACAATTTTTTTCAGAGTCACATCTAACAAAACTAACCTTAACTTTTTAACTTAATTGAGGTATTACTTTTTATGTTGTTATAATTGTATTAAATTATATTAAATCAACATTTTATTAAAAAAAAAAAAAAACCACACCAACACGTGACCGAACCATCCTAATATATATATTTATATATATATAAAATAAAAAACAAAAATGTACTAAGAGGATAAATCAAAGGACTTGCGAGTATATATCAGTTATAATAATATACTTAATAAAAATATTTCACAGGAAAAACCAAGCAATCAAGTAAGTAAGTAAGCAAAGCACCGTTTACTATATATATATATATATATATGTATACCACTACTCGTATTCGTGGTAAGAAGAAATAAACATCGACGATTTAATTTCAAAAGGTCAAGCTCTTCGTACCGTGTCCAGTACACGGAAGCATATCGCGTATCTTTGGAAGACGGATGACCTTAGGTAGGTTCAGACCTTTGCTCTTAAACACCGTCCGAACGAACGTTACCTGTATCCAACCAACCAACCTATCTTATCCTCTTTTAACTTGTTGGCTTCTCTTAGTAAGCTGTCCACTTTACCACGATTGATGCCAGAAATTTTATTCAAACCCCCCTTACCCCCCCTTACCATGCCCTTCCCTCCCCCTCCCCCCACTTACCCCTTGTTTTTTTTTTGTAATTATTATCATTTTTATTTACTTTTCTTCTTTTTGATTTTTGTAAATGTACTTCAACTATTTTTTATTAATAATTTGTTAGGTTGTTAATATATCGTTCATTTGAATTTTATTTTATAATATAATATTACAAATATATATTAATTTAAATATTTTAAATATTATAATATTTTATTTTATATTTAATATAATTTTTAAATAAAAAATTAAACACACATTGAACCAACCTTTAAGTACCACTTTAGGTACCACTTAAGTTGGTAAAATGGATTTTAGGAAAATTACTAAATGTTAAAATAAACAAAATTAATTGATAATAATTTAATTCAATTTCAATTACTACGATTATTATTTTGTTCAAATTGAAAAATTGATATGAAATTAATTGCATAAGGGAACTATTTTATTTTTTCTTTTTTCTTCTTCTTTATTTTTTTTTTTTTTTTTTCAGTTTTAATTCAATCTATTGGAATTCTTATTAGTAATTTATTTCTAATTGAGAAGTTAGGATAGTAGGATAATATAAATTACATAAGAAGAGTTATTACTATACTTAAGAGAATATTTGATA